GTAATATATTTACTGAGAAAAATGGTGACGTGTTCAATACTTATTTTACCCGCTGTATTATGTCAGTAGTATATATAAACGTGTACATACATATATTATGGGTTCTGTTGTGATATCGGGCTGATGGTTATCGTGAACGACTAAATCTAAGTTTRTCAAATTGTGGTTTTATTTATTTGGAATCAAGGGTTTAAAGAAAAAAACAATACGACTCCAAAAGCAGAGAATTCAGTTCAGGAGTGTGTGTATCCTGATGTACACACACACACACACACACACACACCGCAGAGCAGGCGCACAACAGAACCAGATTACTTTCACTTCCTTTCCAGAACCCAACTCATAAATGGGGAGAGCAGTGAGGGACGGTGGACTGAAGATTTATGTGGAGCCATAAATCACACACACACACACACACACACACACACACGGAGCTGCACTCACTTGCTGTTGGGGTTTAGGTATGCGGCCACGGCGTCCCTCAGGGCGCAGAGCTCGAGCCGGGCCTGATGTGGAGCGGGTCGAGGCGAGGCAGGTTCAGAGACAGAAAAACCAGAAACGGGTCAGAAGGTTTAACCGACAGCAGCTCGGAGCTCAAACTGTTGCCAGAAACCACACGTGGATCCCCGGACCCCCCCATGTCTGAGTCAGGGTCCTGATATGAGCCACTCGTACCTGCAGGGCGCCGTTCTTACTGAAGGACGAGACGCACTGCATCAGGCGACACATCTCGTCTGCCACCGACTCCACGATCCTGGACAGGACCCGGGGGACCAGATCCCTGGAGACCGTGAAGACCTGCAGAGGACAGAGGGGTCTTTGTTTCAGGAAGGAACCAGTTCAGAACTAAAAATAAAATCTGAAATGTTTGACTTTGTACCTCAGCGTGAACAGAGATGATGTTCACCAGAGCTTCCTTCAGGTAGTTCCTGACACCTGATGGACACAGAGAAGGACTTCCTGTTGGAAACACCTGCACACTCAGGAGTGTAGGGAGGCGGGGCCTACTCAAAAATATACTCAGAACTACACTTATTACAGCCACTTGAAGTACATTTTTCTAAATACTTCAGATTAGGGCTGGATAATAAATCAATAACAATTTATATGGTGATAAACGTGATCATTATCAACTAGAGAAATGTTACTGAATGCTTTAAAACTTCAGCTGAAAGCTGCTGACATTGAGCTGAAAATATTTAATAGTTAACGTGTTAATGTGACCTCGCTTTGCAAAGCTGAACAAAACCAAAAAAAAAAAAAAAAAAAAAAAAAAAAAGGAGCAAAAATAGAGTTGAAATACAGTAGCAGAAAATAAGCTAAAATAGCTAAATATAGCAGAAAACATCTGTAAAAAGCATAAATTAGCAGAAAAAACAAAAAAGAGAAAAGATCTAAAGCTGAAACAGCAGAAAAAAGCTACAATTAGCATAAAAATAAGCTAAAGCTATTAGCCATAAGTTGTAATTAGTACCCAGATAGTGAAAGTCGTAAAAAAACATAAAAAATAGCATAAAAAAGCATAAAACTACAAAAAAGTGGCAATTTGTAGTAAAATAGCTAAAACAGCTAAAATGTTCAGGAAAACAGCTAAAACGTAGCTGGAATTTTTTAATTAGCGTAAGGATGCATAAACAGCACGGGTTTGTTGAACTTAAGAGAAGTTGTAATATGTACAAAAATTGTGTATTTAACTTAAAGGGGAGTGTAAGAAAATATCGATACACTGAAAAATCGCGATATTTCATTTCCCGATACTGTATCGATATTCTAAAGCCCTGTATCGATTTTTTT